GTTGTCCAACAGCATCAAATCGCGAGCGTCAGTCAGAATCCGAACCATCTTCTGAAGCAAACGTCCTTCTCATCAGTGTCCTCCTCTTCTGTTCCAACTTCTAGTGGTGGTCTTCTGAATGAAGTGATGACCGCTTACAACGAGAAAGTTCGTTTGTCAAGTTCGTTGTCTTTGCTGAATTAACAAGTCGCTCGCTCACACCGTTGTGTTTGCTATGCATCACGGATCTAATACAGTAGTCGTTTAGGCATTGCACCATATCACTTTCCATATTCTTCCGGCTGTTTAGCTGACATTCCTTTACACGCTGAACTCAAATCTGCAAATTGTGTTGATTTTTGTTGAGCGAACAAAATGAAAATTTTAGTCTTCCTAAATGTGAATGTATTCGGTGCAAAATTAGGAATTGCACTCAAACTCATGTCTTTTTTCCTAACATCTTTGTCGAATTGCCGGCGAATTGCACAAACTTCAATGCACACTTTTTGGTGCTATCGCCCAGTTTTCTCATTTCCAAAGATACATGTGGGTTCATGAAAGTGTGCTATCTACAGAAAGTTGTACGCTACAATGCTAATTTTCAAATTTGCTTATCACTTCAAGGTTGAATTGCGCCGTAGTTGATTCGATAAGAAGAGTTCATTATTGAAAATCAGTTCATTTTATGACTGACTGCGCTTTTATAAACGTTCTGCGTGAATGGTGCACGCAATTGTCTTAAGAAAGAAGCAGGAGACCGATTCCACTCTTACATTTTCAGTTAACGTCTTTAAATGTGAACATTTCTCATATAGACTCGATACGAAATTGCAACAGTGCGCAGTGCTTACATTTATGGACTATTCGTTGACAGCTAATCGCAAGCGTCCGACAACAGTTTTGATTAGAATAAAAATATTCATGCCCTGACCATACATTAAGGCAAACATGTGAAGCTTGCGGAAGAAAGGTTACATTGAGGTCTGAATGGATGGGTTCGAGAAAATTGATCAATAATCAGTTTTAGGTGCTAATCGGATCGTCACATAGTAGAGCAGCAGTGTCGAGTGTGTTGTGCACACCATCGTCACATCAATCGTTAGTGCGTTCCAGTCCAGTCTATTCGACGACTTCAATGCTTTCGTCATCGTACTCTTCAATACCGTCCATATCAACGTCAACAACCACTTCATCCTCCCATCGTCCTCAAGCTATTGTCTCACCGATGACTTCGGTTAATTCATCAAATGTCAACAGCTCGGCAATAGTTCAATCTTCTGCAAGCAAAGAAACACTACTGGAAGGCAATGAATTCATGAAGACTGATGACGATCATGATGAG